TACAGGTGGGTTGGACCACTGATTGACAAAAACACCTTAAAACATTGTTCTGAGTATTTTTCTAATGGAATGTTTTCAGCAGGCTTTCTTTCCAGTCAGAAACTGCCTTCTGCTTTGAGTTTCTCACGACTGGTTTATTTGAAAGGCTGGTGTTTTATTATAGATTCTGTGGTCTCCGGATCTATCAGCACCTTTCAGATGGGGTAAGCCAGCTCACTGAGGTAATGGTGTTGATGTATCTCAGATGACTGAATGTATACAGTATTCTTAAGGAAAACAATGTGGTAATTGCAACAGCAGCTAAATTGGGTAGCCATTCAATTTTATTAGTTTCTTCATTTTTCTGAACATGTGAAAATATAAAAGAGGTGTTTAGCTTTGATCTCAGGCTTCAAAAACACCTTTGATAAACAGATGGTAACACCTGTCCAAACAAACACAGATCAATGAGGAGACGGTACGTGGATTGTAAAGTGTAAGTTCCTTACAGCTTTGTGGTAATGTCAAAACTGCCCAGAGCACAAGGGTGGCCCTCATGGTGGGTGAATCTTTACCAGTTTCCAGATCCACTCTCAAATGTGAAGCCTGGACATTAACAATTTCTGCTGTGTTCCCAAAGATGGACTCTTAGTATAATAAAAGCTTTCCTGGTAATTAAGTGTAGAAATGGAATCCCAGATTTCTTTTGAACTTTTCGGTTTACTTGCCGAATAAGCTGTCTGTAAGTGGCCAGGAGGAACTCAGCATCCCTATGGCCAAGAATGGAGAAGTGACATAATGACAGAAGCCTGGAGAATGGTGGCCCTGATGCCTCCTAGAGTTGTTGGGCGGATCAAACCAACGGTCAAAATGAATCCACCCTGTGAACCTACATTGCCATATTAGAGGTATGCTATTAAGGTGCAATTTTAGTTTTACACAAGTTGTGAAGATAGCTTTGTTTAGTTGGTAATTATGTTCCGGTGAATCTAGACTGAATGCACCATTAGAATTTTGTCCTCTTGGGGGTTTTAATTTTGAAAACTTTGAAGATAGTTTTAATTCAGTTAGTTGATTACCTTAGGCCGGGTTGGACTAGCACATGGCTGGTATTATCTCCGCCCCCCCTGCCCCCCGCCCCAGGGAACCAGGACACAGCGTTTTGCTCTGTAGCCCAGCCTGGCCTAGAACTAAGAGTCCTTTGGCCTCCGTCTTATGCATGTTGATATGACAGCCTTTTACCTTTGGCCACGGTTTATTATTATTTATATATTTTATGTGTATGAGTATTATGTGTGCATGTGTGTGAGTTCACCCATGTGTACAATGCCCGAGGAGGTTAGAAGAGGGTGTTGGATCCCCTGGAACTAAAGTTACAAATGGTTGTTAGCTGCCATGTGGGTGCTGGGATTTGAATCCAGGTCCTCTGCAAGAGCAGCTGATGCTTTTAGCCACTGAGCCATCTCTCTAGTCCCACCTTTGGCATGGTTTTTATCCATGATAGCATACACCTTTCCTGAACATGCCAGAATCCTCCTGCCCCAGCCTCTGCAGTAGTTGAAACTGCAGACAGATGCACACCAGCACACCTAGCTTTTCCCTTTTTAACACAGGGCTTGCAGCCCCATCTGATTTCAAATACGTCACTTAGACTCTCACCTGGCCTAAGAATAGCAGTGCTTTAACTTCGGTCACCTTCCAGGGTTTTGTGATACTTAGTGTCTGGCCTAGTCAGTCTCAAGTGCATTCTTGTGTGTGTACATGTACATGTCTGTGTGTGCTTATGTGTGTATACGAGCTCATGTGCACACATATGTCTATATATGCACATGTGTACAGGTGCATATGTATGTGTACATGAGCATGTCTGTGCACGTGTGCATGCACATATACACACGTTTGCATTGTATGTAGGGGTGCATGTATGCACATGTGTATGTGTACATGTGCAAGTGTGCACGTATGTGTGTACATGTGTGTATGTGTGTGTATGTGCACTGTGAGTCTGCTTAGCATAGCAGAGGCTTTCTGCCTTGCTCCTTGGCAGGGGCTGTGGATCTGGAGACTGTGGCCTGGAGGTTTACTGATGGCTACAGCTGGCTGGGAATGACATTCCTAGAAACAACAACAGTGACGCTCAGTGAAGCCTGGGGTCTCCTGGACAATGTCAGGAAACTCATCTTCCAGGGATCCCTCCCAGGTGGCAGAGAAGCCTCCATGAAGACCTGCAGTGGTGGGGTCCACTGAAGCTTCCCAAAGGGAATGGGGATGCCCCGGGCCTAAGGCTAGTACACAGGAGGTGACAGGGAGGTACACTGCAGGTGGAGGGCACACGGGAGGTCAGCAGTGTCATCACAGACAGGACCTGGGAGGTCACTCTCCTGGTTGTCTGTACCCCAGTATCCTGTGCAGGGCCTCTCCATAAGGAGAAAATAAGGGTTTGCTCCTGGTTTCTCTTGGCCTAGGAACAGTCCAGTGCAGATCCTCTAAGCCCATTAGCATGTGGGCACATCCTCTCCAGCTCTTCTTCCCCTCCTCTGGCAGAGTGCTGGGAGCTGGCTCTGGACATCATGTGGATCTTTTCCCTGAGGTAGACTCCATGTTTAACTACTCCCCATTTCTATAGAAAGACCCTGGTTTCCCTGTTACTCCATCAGCTAAGAGAAGGGCCTGAGGGGCCGAAGAGAGGGCTCAGTGATTAAGGGCACTTGCTGCTCTTAATGAGGACTGGAGCTGGGTTCCCAGCACCCACAACAGGTGGCTCACCTCTCCTTGTAACTCTAGTTCCAGAGGATCTGCTCTCTTCTGGCCTCCACAGGCAAGCGCGTGTGCACACACATGCACACACACATGCACACACACACACATTTAAAAAAAAATCTGTAAAAAAAAAGAGTTGAGGGCTATCCTAGTTCTTGGTTTCCCTTCCTTCAGAACATGGTGGCAGGGGCTGTGGATCTGGAGACTGTGGCCTGGAGGTTTACTGATGGCTACAGCTGGCTGGGAATGACATTCCTAGAAACAACAACAGTGACGCTCAGTGAAGCCTGGGGTCTCCTGGACAATGTCAGGAAACTCATCTTCCAGGGATCCCTCCCAGGTGGCAGAGAAGCCTCCATGAAGACCTGCAGTGGTGGGGTCCACTGAAGCTTCCCAAAGGGAATGGGGATGCCCCGGGCCTAAGGCTAGTACACAGGAGGTGACAGGGAGGTACACTGCAGGTGGAGGGCACACGGGAGGTCAGCAGTGTCATCACAGACAGGACCTGGGAGGTCACTCTCCTGGTTGTCTGTACCCCAGTATCCTGTGCAGGGCCTCTCCATAAGGAGAAAATAAGGGTTTGCTCCTGGTTTCTCTTGGCCTAGGAACAGTCCAGTGCAGATCCTCTAAGCCCATTAGCATGTGGGCACATCCTCTCCAGCTCTTCTTCCCCTCCTCTGGCAGAGTGCTGGGAGCTGGCTCTGGACATCATGTGGATCTTTTCCCTGAGGTAGACTCCATGTTTAACTACTCCCCATTTCTATAGAAAGACCCTGGTTTCCCTGTTACTCCATCAGCTAAGAGAAGGGCCCGAGGGGCCAAAGAGAGGGCTCAGTGATTAAGGGCACTTGGTGCTCTTAATGAGGACTGGAGCTGGGTTCCCAGCACCCACAACAGGTGGTTCACCTCTCCTTGTAACTCTAGTCCCAGAGGATCTGCTCTCTTCTGGCCTCCACAGGCAAGCGCACGTGCACACACATGCACACACACATGCACACACACACACAGGTACACACACATTTAAAAAAAAATCTTAAAAAAAAAAGAGTTGAGGGCTATCCTAGTTCTTGGTTTCCCTTCCTTCAGAACATGGGTGTTTTTCAAGCTTCCAATTTGAGCTGTCACTTTTGTATCCCCTTAGATGTAGCAGAGTCTGGAGTGCTGGAAGGGATTTTGTTCTCCCAGGCTTCTGGAAATCTCTCTGATGTTTCTTAGTATGTATCAATAAATTGAAAGTATTTCCCAAGTAGCAGTGATTCATGGGTGTGACATGGAGGGGCCAGCTGTCCCCTTGTGCATGGTATATGGGTAGACAAGGTTTTTTACAGGCCCAGAACAGTTCTTGATCAAGGGGAGAGAAGTCAGCAGAAGCTAGCAGCCTCCTTCATCTGCTTGTACAGCATAGGGCATGTTGATTAGGGTGCAAAAACTGAGGCTTGGCCTGAGAAGGTAAAGAAAGAGCAAGCAGCCTTGGGTGGAGAGATAGCTTAGCAGTTAAAGGGGCTTGCTGCTCTTCCCAAGGACCTGAGTTCTGTTCCCAGCACTCAGGTCAAATGGCTCACAACCAGCTCCAGGGAATCTGACGCCCTCTTGTGGCTTACATGCATGTGTGGTACTCACACACATAAATAAAAATAAAATATAAATATTAAAGACGTAAAGATGAGTCTGCTATCTCAGCACTGGAGAGATCAGAGAGGATCAGGACTTCAAGGTTATTCTCACCATCAGTTGAGTTTGAGGCCCATTTGGGCTCTCTCTCTCTCTCTCTCTCTCTCTCTCTCTCTCTCTCTCTCTTTCTCTCTCTCTCTCACACACACACACACCCACACACACACACACACACACACACACTGAGATGGAGCTTGGTGGTGCACGTCTGTAACTCCAGTATTTGGGACTTCAAAGTCGGTCTGGTCTACGCGGTGAATTCCAGGCCAGTCTGGGCTACAGGAGACCCTACCTATAAATAACAAGAAAGTAAGTAAATGAATCAATAATGAGAAGTGGGTAGAATCTGGGTGCTGTGGCGTCCTGGGTGGCCACGACAGCCTGGGTATGGAAGGAGGGCGCAGGGCACCTGGGCTGCAGGGTGAGGCGACCTCGGAGGCACCAGCTCAGGGCGCTGAGTTGCGCCCTCGGGGAAGGCGCTGGGTGCCGCCCAGAGGCCGGGCGGGGAGCGGGCAGGGCGTCCCGGCAGGGCTGGGGCTGGCGAGCTCTCCGCCCCGCTCCTCCTCCGGGGCGTCCCCCGCGGCCGGGCCAATGGGCGGCGGGCGGAGCGGAGCGGGAAGCCGAGCGGGCCCAGCCCTCCGACGGCTCCCGGGGCCGCAGCGCCTGCTCTGCGCCCTGGAGTCGGCGGCCGGTCGCCTCCCCGGTTCCCGCGCAGGCCCTGCGAGCCCTTGGGGCGGCAGTGCGCCCCGAAGATGCAGGATGGCAGCGCGGACGCCCGCCAGCCCGTCCTACTGCACCACCGGCTCCACCTGGCTGCATCCGCTCAGCCAGCTCCTTGGCATCCCGCTGGACCAGGTAAGCGCATCGCACCCGTGGCCTGGGGAGAGGGATGCGTTCCGTCCCTGCCCACAGCCTGGTTTACAACTCCAAACTCGAAACGCCACAGGTGGGAGGGGTTCTTTTTGAGGTAGATGCTTTTAAAGTGTGAAAGATAGTCGTTCCAACACGGCAGGTTGGACTGAACTTTTAAAGTTTGGGTCTGTAATGGAATTCCGAAGTCATGTGATACTTGGATCCAACGTTATCCCCACCACTGTAGTGAAGTCTTTGTGATTTTAAATCAAGGTGATCCTACTTTAAAGATAAGTCTGATGAGATGGACGTGGTTGTTCACACCTGTAATCTCGACCCTTGAGAGGCTGGGGCAGGAGACTTGCTGTGAGTTCCAGGCTACCTGTGGGTGATGGAGTGAAACCTTCCCCAAACAAAATCAAAACCAAAACCAACCAACCAACCGACCACTACCAATAAAAAATAAAAAGCCCAATTAATTAGGTGTGTACAGTACAGTATATCCTTAACCCAGCACTTGGGAGGCAGAAGCAGCATAATATAATATATGCTGTTTTCTTTATTTTTTGTTTTATTTTATTTTTTATTGAGACAGTACCCCCTATGTAGCCCAGACTGCCCTGGAACTCTTTACATAGCCCAGGCTGGCTTCAAACTCTGTTTTGCCCAGGCTGGCCTAAAATTCTTGGCACTCTTCTTGTGTCTTCAGTTCTGGGATGCCCCTCAGGCCAGGAGGGCCTTTGGTAGCCTGTGTTTTATTTTATTTTTTATTGAGACAGTACCCCCTATGTAGCCCAGACTGCCCTGGAACTCTTTACATAGCCCAGGCTGGCTTCAAACTCTGTTTTGCCCAGGCTGGCCTAAAATTCTTGGCACTCTTCTTGTGTCTTTCAGTTCTGGGATGCCCCTCAGGCCAGGAGGGCCTTTGGTAGCCTGTCTGTTCCACCCCCGGGGTGGGAGGCTGATGAGTAGCAAGGTTCACTGAATAGGAACGCTGAAGAATTGTCTGCAAGCCTTACAGTGAAAAATGACACAGCGATCTTTTAAGAAATCTTGCAAAAGACGCTGGATGTAGGTCAGTGGTAGAGCTTGTCTAGTACACGGGACCATCTGGGTGCTGTCCCCGGTACGTGTGTGTGTGTGTGTGTGTGTGTGTGTAACTGGCTGTTCGGCTTATTTTGTTTCTTTTGGTGCCTCAGGCAAGTTGCCCTGTGTAGTACAGTAACTGATGCGTGATTTAAGTGGACTCAGGCCCTGCAGACTGGAGTAGAGCTGCTGTTCTCCTTACTCTTTTGTTTCTGCTGAGTTTTGCCCCTGTGTAGTTCCCTTTCTCTTGTTCACCCCATAGCCTCAGCTGGTCTTCAACTTGAAGCAATCCTCCTTCTTCAGCCTCCTGAGGACTGGTGGTGCATGTTTGTAATCCCAGTATTTAGGAGACTGAGGCAGGGGGATTGCTTCAAGTTGGAGACCAGCTCAGGCTTACGTGGAGAACACCTAGTTACATGGCAAGACCTTGTCTTGAACAAAACAAAACTTTCCCTCTCTTTTCACTAGGGCTTTTTTTTTTTTTCTTTTCTCCAAAGGAGCATGTGTACATGTGTACCTGTAGCCTCTCCCTGCCCCTTCCACTCACATTCCTCCCGCATGAGGAAGTGGGACCTGGCTGTTTGCCTTCCTCACTGCGGTTTATTGCTGAGCTACCCTCATCCTCACTCTGAGGCTCTTAGCCTGCTGCCCTGTCAGTTGCAAAATCCTGAGAATCAGGAACTTGGTAGAACTATCATTACTCTTTACTTTGTAGTAAATATCCTAGGAGACCCAGGGATGCAGATAGGGGCAGACATAGAGCAATTTTTTTTCTTAAAAAGAAATTTTTTTTTTTTTTTTTTTTTTTTTTTGACAGGGTCTTCCTGTAGTCCCAGCTGGCCTGGAACTCACTATGTGAACCAGGCTGGCCTCGATCTCACAGAGATCCGCCTGCTTCTGCCTCCCGAGTCCTGGGATTAAAAGGCGTGCGCCACCACTCAAATTTTTTTCACTCTGAAGAGAACCATAAGGCATCACTGAATTTCCTTGGGGGGAGTTCATTCTGTGTTGTCCTCGCCAGTTCCCACTATATTTTAATTGCATCTTCTCTTTTAAATTATTTGCCCAGCTACTGACAAGAACCTAGAATCTAACACCCTCATTTGGCCTCTAAGGGCACCAGGCATCCCGTGGTACATATACATACATGTAGGCAAATGCTCATACATATAAAATAAAAATAAAGAAATCTAAAACCTGAAATAGCCTTTGTGCATTCTGACCTGTGCGAGAAAGCCCTCACTGGCCTTATTTGCCTGTTAACTACTGGGCCCTCTTGAACTGAACTGCCTGCCAGCACTTAGGTCTACTGTGATGAAAGTCTAAGGCTTTTGTTTCCAGGGGCTTTTTCTGGCCTGACCTGCTCTTAAAGTTGTTAAATGTTAAACAGTCTTCTTTACTGAGAGATAAATAGAGCACTAAAATTCATATGGAGTATATGGGGCTACCATAGGTGTGGCTTAGATGTGTTTGTTGAAAACTATTTTGAAGGCTTCATGGGTAAATGTACTTGTAACCAAGTCTGACAACCTGAATTCAATCCATGGGACCCACATGGTAGAAGGAGAGAACCAACTCTCACAAGTTGTCCTTTGACCTCAACATGTATGCATGCTTGTGTACACAAACTGAAAAAAAAAAAAAAACCAAAACAAACTGCAAGCATATTTTAAAATGAGACCCTGTCTCCTGAGCAGACATGGAGCTCCAGTGGTTAGTGGGATTATTGAGATATAAAGCTTTCCTTACTCAGGATAAATTAGGCAACAATTTTCCTTTCCCATGGCGGATGAGGGCTTGTGTCCCCTCCACTTGGTTTTTTGAGGAACTTCTACTAGCTTCTAGAGCCCAGGACATCAGTGCCTAATGGTGTCCCTAAACTGTGTGTGTTTGTAGAAAGGGTCATTTGGTCTAAAGTCATCATTCTTTGTTCAAGTTTCATTTTTATTTTTTCTGTCTCAATTTACTATGGATGGAAAAGGAGCGAGGGACAGACCAGGACGTAGACTAGAATCCAGGAAATGATTTAGATTAAAGTAGGCAAAGTTTGGGAGTTTGACATAAGCCTGTGCTACAGTTTAAACATGCAGAGATGAAAACCAGCCTTAAAGACCTGACTCTGGGCTGATAGTGATGTATCAGTGGGGACCTGATTATTCTGCTGAGGTCTGTGACTTCAGGTTTCTCTACCTGCCTGTGGCTTTTGGTCACCTGACTGATGCCCTTGGCCTTGCTTGGAAAGTCTAGCCTTCAATTCTGTTCTTATCTAAGTCTCTGTTAAAAGCTCAGCTCACATTCCACAGCCATTGTTAAATCAATTAAATATTTGTTTAATCCTGTTAGTACCAGGTACTTGGCTGTGTGGCTACCAAAAATCAAGGTCCCCTTTTTAGAAAGCTTATTATACACCAGTGGAGGAGGGAAGAGGCTCATATAAGTAAACAGGCAGTATGTGTTACAAAGAAGTTTGTAGTTGCTGCCTCAAGGGAACAGGGCAGTGCAGTGGCCCAGGACTCCTGTAGAATCTACTGTGTCCACATAGGACACTGGGTGAAAGTTGCCTTATATTATAATCTCACTGAGTTTGTACACTGGATTTCAGCCTAAAGTCGATTCATGGTTTAGTATTTTCTGATTTCCCAGGAAATTTTAGATGTTCAGTGACTGTCATCAGTAACAATGTATGCCAATGCTGTCAGTTATTAAAGTTCAGTGCAGGGAACAGTGCTTTGATTGTGTAATATTTGGTCCAAGGATTGAACCCAGGGTCTTGTGTATATTAGAGCAAGTGTTCAACCTGAGAACCTTGCTTTTAAAGTGGATGGTAGATTGGCCTTTTGGAAGAAATGACTTCCATAGGCTTATGCATTTGAACACTTGGCCCCCACTTTGGGGAGACTATAGAACCTTTAGGGAGGTGGAGCCTCACCAGAGGAAGGATGTCACTAGGGGTGGGCTTTGAGGATGTATAGTGAGCCTTGCTCACTTCCTCCTGGCCCTCTCTGCTTCCTGTGTGTAGAGGAAATGGGGTCAGAAGGCCCCCTGTTCCTGCCACCGTGCCATGCCTTCCCTGCCATGAAGACCCGATCCCTCTGGAAACTTCAGCTTGAATCAACTCTTTCTTCCTTAAGCTGCAGTATTTTATCACAGCAATAGAAAAGTAACTGATATACGTGTTATTGTCTATGCTGCCTCCAGACTGTGACCTGGGTTCTTACATCTCACCTCAGCTCAGGATGGGTGTGAGCACCCTGCAGACCCCAGAGGGTCAACAAGAGAGCTGTCTCCTCCTTCCTCTCCTCTCTCCTCCCCCTCCCCTCCTCTTCACCCTCCTCCCCCATCTTCATCCTTCCCCTCCCCTCCTCTTCCTCCTCCCCTCTTCCCTTTTCTATCCCCTCCCTCTCCCCTTCCCCCTCATTCCCCTCTTCATTCCCCCCTTCCCTTCTTCCTCTCTCCCCCCTCTCCCCTTCACGTTCACACCCTTTCTCCGTATCCTTCTCCTGTTCTTCTTTTTGGGTTCAGTTATTTTTTTCAAAGTCCGATCTCTCCCCACTTAATATTCCTGTCAAAATGACTGGCTTGCAGAAGGAAATTAATCTGGTTAGACCACAAACCACAAGATCGAGTGTCTGCTGTATTCCAGGGATTTCTGGGGCCATACAAGGCTGTGATTCAAGCATGAACAAAGTTGTGCTGCTGCTCAAAAACTCATGTTGGGTAAGACAGGGATACACTTTCTGAGTGCCGCCTGGACCAAAAGATGTCCTGTTCAGAACTTGTTAGTGATGACCCTTCTCAGCCAGGCATGGTAGCTCTTAGCTATAATCCTTGAAGTCCAGAGACTAGGCAGGAAGATTTCTGCAGCTTTGAGGTCAGCCTGGTCTACAGAGTAAGTGTCAGGCCAGCCGGGGCTACAG